CAAAGTGCTTTCCAAATCATTACTTTATTTTACTATTATAACAACCCTTGCAGGTGGGTATCATTATTATCTCTATTTTACATATGAGGAAACTGAGGCAGACAGAAATTAAGTAACTTTCCTAGAGTTATACAGCTAGGAAGTGATCCAGCCAAATTGATATTCTCTCTGTTCTTTACACATGGCGCTCTATCTGCTGCCTCTGTCTTGATATTGGCTGCCCCCCATGCTTGGTCCTTATATCTACCTCACAGAGTTCTTTTCCTTTAAGACAGATTTCAGGCACCATCATCTGTAGGAAGCCTTTTCTGATTACAACTTCTAGTACTCTCCCTTCCAATGTACCTTGTATTTTACTATGTTTGTTGTGTGTGTATACAAATGTATATGTTACATTTATGCTGTATATATTTGTTTTATGTATTTGTCCTCCTCCCATTTGAATGTAAACTTATTTGAAGTAGAGATTATTTTACTCTTGGTACTTGTATACCCAGTGCTTACCACAATGTCTAGCACAAAGTAGGTTCTTAACAAATTTTTAATTGATTGATACTACATTGGCAAATCAATATCCTTATGCAGAGAATCACCATCTACTACCACTCTTTGCTTCTTTTTCTGACCCTAATTCCATCCTCTTTAGGAAGAGCCCCCAAATATCCTTTTAAACTCTGATTACATGGCTGTCCTTCCTTTTCCTTTGTGTAAAACTCTTCTATTCTCCAATATCTTGTAAAGAATCACCTCCCTCCACCTCAAATCCCCCTTGTCCCCAAAAAAACCCTTCACTTCTATTTTCTGTAGGAGTATTTCATTCCCCTCGACACCTTGGAGTGTGGAGAAGTATTCTTTGAGTCCCTTTACCTTTTCTTTGGGGGATGAGGGGTAGGCATGGTGGTGCTTCGGATCAGCTTTCTCTTTCACCATAGATAACAGTCATTTGGCCTGTGGTAGAAATATAAACATTGTGCTCTCGTAGAAAGTTGCTGTACAATTCCCCCTCCTCTTCAAGCTGGTTGACTTTTCAGTTTATTTATTGATTTATATTTTAGGTGTTTGTGAGTGTTTGCATTTGTCTTTCCTGGTTAAAACTTTTACAACCAATTACAACTTTTTAATCACTTGATAACGTCACCTAACTTCCTTCCTAGTCTCACCAATAAGTCCATAGTCATATCCCCCTTCCCCTCAGCCTTACACCAGCCTCCTTTTTTATCATTTGGTCCCACCCACCAATCTCCTCTATCCATTTATTTTATCTTCTAATTGTTCCACTTAATCTTTTATTACTTATCCTTCCCGGGTCATACCAATTCCCTTCCTTTCTCTCCCTCTTTCTCTTCATTTTCTATTAGCTAATCTTCCTTGATCCTCCTTAATCCTGTTATTATCCTTCTTAATTGTCCCCATCCTCTTGCTCCATCTTGCTCCTCTTTCAGCTATATAGTCAAATCTAGACCTGTATCTAGGCCTGGAAAATTTTCTCCTTCAAATTTCCCTCAAATTCTCCCAAATTTTTCCTCCCCAAATTCAAATTATGACCTCACTTTCCTTAACATGTCTGATTTCAGAAATCTACAGTATTTCCTCCTTATTTAACTCAAGCCCTTCTCCCTCTCCTCCCACAATAATGGAAGTCAGACATAGGTGACATTGCTCTACCTGTTCTCCTACCTGCCTCACCCCTCCTTTTCGGTCTTCCTTGCTTGGATCATCATCCATAATAATGTATTCCCTAATTATGGAGGTGTGCTACAAGGCTCTGTCCTTGGCCTTCTCCTCTCTCCTTATTCTCTCTATTTTGATGATCTATCCCATCAACTCCCACGGTACAACTATCATCTCTATGAAGAGGAATCCCAGGTGTTAGAATGTAATGTCCTTGAGTAGAGATTGTTCTATTCTTTTTATTTGTATATCCAGTGCCTATCATGCAGTAGACACAATAAATGTTTGTTGATTGAGTATTTGATTATATATATCCAACCCTCCTGAATGCCAGTCCAGCATTACCAACTGAATGTTGGACTCTTCAAGTTAATGACCTATAGGCACCTCAACTTCAACATATTCAAAATAGAACTTATCTCTCCCACCAGACTCCCCTTTTCTGAACTTTCCTGTTTCTATTAAGGGTACCACCATCCTACTAATCACCAAGATTTGAAACTTCAGAGGCATCCTCAATTTCCATTTTGGTCTCACCCTTCATATTTAATCAGTCACTATTTCCTGTCCATTTTACCTCTGACATCTCTCACATCTACCCCCTTTTTTTCTGTTCACAAAGCTAGCTCTGGCCCTTATCACCTTTTATCTGGACTATTATAAAAGCCTTCTTTTTTTTCCTTTCCTGTTTTTCCTTTCCCATGTAATTTCAAAACAAGCTACCAATTCCCCCGAGCATTTAGATGTGTCTGTGTTTCTATATTGCTGTCATCTGTGGTGTTATGTCTCTGCGTTTGCCCTGTTTCTCACAACAAATATAATGCCCTTGAGTTCAGGAACCCTCTTTTCTCTTTTTCTGACTTCCAATTTGCCTACTATAGTGTTCCAGATCCAAGGGTTATTCAACTAACTATGATGATCAATTGATAGATGAAATTAGCAAAGGGATGGGCCTTTTGATGAAGACCATGTAATTCTACAGTGGCATCTTGGATCAACTTATTAAGGAGATTGTATACTGTTAAAGCATTGTGAGCTCCATTAGTTGTCCATTAATCCATTATATTGCGAGCTCCTTGAACGCAAGGACTGTCTTTAGTCTCTTTTGGTATTCCCAGCTCTTAGCACAGTGCCTGGCACTTAGTAGGCCCTTAATAAATGTTTACTGATTGATCTCTTCCCTACCCCTCCTGTTCTGCTGCTTGACTCTACACTTCTGCCCAGATGCATATAACAAAACCAAGATTAATAAAAGTAAGTCAACATCAACTGAATGTACAATCAGCCTGGCACTAGGTCAGAATTAGAAGGGATCTAAGACATCACTTAGTCCAAAGATCACAAAAAGGAACCTAATCATAATGATGCAATGTTTGATTCTGTGATGGCAATGAGAGGAAGGATTGAGCTCCCAAGAAGCTATGCTCCTGGTGTTGTAGCTAGTATAACTACATGCTTTGCACAGCTGGCAATGGTAGAAAACTGTAGGAGGTATAGCTTGAGAAAGAGGAAGGGAAACAGGAGGATCCACTTACCCAGCCAATACTAATTTGTGAGCTTTTTATTCATTCCACCTAGTATTTACTGATTGTCTGCTATGTGGCATTGGGCCAGATGCTATAGGAAATACTAGAGAAGTATCTTGCCTCATTGAGGTTGTAATCTAGTTGAGATGGAAAAACCAACATAGGTGAAAAAAAAAATAGTGCTAGCTTAGTGTGGTGGAAAGGAGCACTGGCTTTGGAGTCCGGAAGACCTAAATTTGAATCCTGGCTTTGCTATTTAACTGTCTTTTGCCTCCTTTTTCTTTTTGGTACTGGGAATTTTGAGGTCCTGATTTCAGTGGATGAACTTCACAGATGATACCAAACCCTAGGGAGATTAAATTTCTTGCCCCAGGTCACAAAGATATTAATTGGCAGGGAAAGGATTTGAACCTGGGATCTCTGATTTCAAACTTATTGCTTTTTTTGACTTTTTATTTTATGACTATGCTACATTGCCTCTTTACCAGATGAATTTCCTTCACTTCAAATATGATGAGCCTAGAGTGAATTCCTTACCTGTAGGGCCAGGCTATGAAGGAAGGTTATATTTTGGAAGCCTTGTCTGTAAAGGATGAATTGAAAGGGGGAGGGACTAGAAGCAGGGAGATCCATTAGCAGGCTATTACAACAGTCCAGGTGAGGGGTGATGATTGTCACTGTGGCAGGAAATTTTCAGGAGGTGCAACTGATTTTTCTAAAGTTATGATAATAACTAGTATTTATGTATCAATTTAAGGTTTGTCATATAGTTTACATACATTTTCTCATTTGATCCTCACAACCTATCTAAAAGTGTTAATTAATCCCAGTTGTACAATGAAGAGAACCAAGACAAAAAGAGGTTAAATGACTTGCCCAGGGTAAACAGCTACTAGGTGTCTGAGGCAGGATTGGAACACAGGACATTGCACTACCTAAGCCGTTGTTTTTTATACCGCTCTCAGTCAAGCATTGGAAGCTAGGTCTATCCACCCCAAGGCCATTGCTCTTTCCTTGCTTTTAATAGATTTGCATCAAAGTTACACCACTTCTTAAAACTTAAACTGGGCAGATTCCTGGAACATCAGGCCCAGGCTAGGATTTCTCAGGGCAGCGCGGCTGCCTTCTGCATACTGTCCCCAAAGTGCAAGTACAGGGTGCTGCACAATTCTTAGTGCATTTAATGCCTTAAGTCTTTGGGTCACCCTCTCTTAAAGGTTACCCTGCAGGTTACTGAGCAGATGCCCTATTAAGGCCTGGAATACTTGGATTCTCTGCAATTCCACACCCCTCGTGACCCCACAAAGTGCAATCCAGAAACATCGGCCTGCTTTCCTCAATGCCAAATACCAAGTGTTCATTTCAGTCTTTGCCCATCGGAAGCTTGGGGCCAGCAGTTCCTTTTCCATCCTCTAGGTGACAGTGCCCCCAGGGAGCCTGCCACCCCACTCAAATCTGTCCCAGCGTGCACCCAGACCAGCCGGGCCTCTAACTAGGAGCGGCGTCCCCTAAGGCTTGGGAGCCGGCGCCGAGCACTGAGCCTGCGCGGGCTGCTGGGACGAAGGGGCGCAGGCGCGGTGAGGGGAGTAGCGCGCCTCTGCGACTCGGGCGCACCCAGGTCCTGCTGGTGTTTGGGGCCCCGCAGCTGGGGGAGGAGCCGGCGCCCTCACCGTGGTAACCGCAGCGTCGCCGCCCCTCCCTGCCTGGCCCTGCCCGCCCCGGGACTGTCATCACCTTCGGGGGCTCTGGGCAGCGTTCTCCCCCGCGTCTGCCTCCGAAATACCGCGCCGGCCTCCCGCGGAGACCCGCCCCAGGCCCCGCCGCCGCCGCCGCCATGCAGGGCGAGGATGCCCGATACCTCAAGAGGTGACGAGGCCCCGCCCCCGGCGGGATGCCCCTGACGGGCGTGGGGGGAGGGGAGGGGAGGGGAGGGGAGGGTGAAGAAGAGGGAGAGGGGGAGCCCCGGGCCTGCGCTCGCCCCGCCCTTCTCTGGCCGCCCCTGTCTCCTGTCCTGCTCAGCCCACCCCTGCCATGTCCATCCCTGCCCTGCTCGGCCCACCCCTGCCTTGTCCAACCCTGCTTTGGCTACCCCTGTCTCCTACCCTATTTGTCCCACCCCTGCCATGTCCATCCCTGCACTGGTCATCTGTGTACTGTCCATCCCTGCCCTGCTTGGCCCATCCCTGCCATGTGCATCCCTGCATTGGTCATCTCTGCCCTGTCCATCCCTGCCATGTCCATCCCTGCATTGGTCATCTCTGCCCTGTCCATCCCTGCCCTGCTCAGCCCACCCTGCCATGTCTATCCCTGCACTGGTCATCTCTGCCCTGTCCACCCTGTCCTGTTCGGCCCACCCCTGCCTTGTCCACCCCTGCCCTGTCCACCCCTGCCTAGGTCAGCTCACCCTTGCCTTGTCTACCCCTGCCCTGCTCAGCTCTCCCCCTGCCTTGTCCACCCCTGCCCAGCTCAGCCCATCCCTGCCCTGTCCATCCCTGCTCAGCCCAGCCCCACCCAGGCCCTGCACTGCTCAGTCCTGCCCAGCAGGCCACTTTCTTTGGACCCTACTCCTGGAAGGGGTAAAAATGCTCCTAATGGCTGCTTAAATTGAAATATTTCTTTACTGAAATGAAGAAAGCTGACAAAGAGTTCTTTCCTCTGCACTTCGTTCAACTTGGCAGTCCTAAGATAATAATATATTGTATCTGGTCCATCTTATTTTGTGAAGTGCCTGCCCTGGTCCAGGGATGTTTCTGCCTTTGCCCATTTCTGTCTCCACCTGATTATCTGTCATCTTTACTTGATTTTACGTCACAGTACAACTCCCCTCCCCCTCCACGTACACCCGACAGACTGTTAATATTCTCTAATGTTTGAATCAGTGAATTCTTTAATGTATGAGATAAATTAGAGCATCATAAAGTTAGAATGGGAAGGGTACCTTAGAGATTATCTATGCTAGTCCCTTTAGTTTTCTCATCTTTCAAATATGAATATTAGCTGCTTCTTTAGCAGTTTCATGGAAATCATGTGAGATAATTGAATATGCTCTGAACATCTTAAGATGTGTGAAGAAGCTTGCATTTTGTGAAGGTGACAGTTTATAGAGGTTGGTATATGTAACGTCATATCGATTGGCTTGCTGGTGTTGTCAGCTGATTGCATTTGCTGTGCTGTTGGAGAGTGAGCGATGTTTCAGAATATGTAGAAAGAAAGAAGACTCCATAGACCAATGAGTGGAGAAACTTTATGCCTCTGAATCCTGCTGTACAGCTTCAGAGACTGAAACGATTACTGTTAATTCCTACTTTTTTGGATTAAGATCCAAAGAAAGGGAGGTTAATTGACTCACCATTTATTTTCTGGATTTGGAGGGCTGTAATGTTGAATAAAACCACTTGCTTTCACTTTATAGCTGTGATTTCGTTGCATTTATTACCAAATTTTTAAAAATTGTGATAGCATCCACAAAAGGAGGCAGCTGGGTGGCATAGTGGATAGAGCATCGGGCCTGGACTCAAGGAACACCAGAGTTCAAATCTGTTCTTAGACACTTACTAGCTGTGTGACCCTGGGAAAATCACTTAACTTCTGTTTGCCTTAATTCACTGGAGAAGGAAATGGCAGACCACTTCGGTATCTTTGCCAAGTAAATCTCATGATCCTTGGGGTCACAAAGAGACATGGCTGAATCAAGTGAACTACAGCATCCGCAAAAATTCATGTGTAATATAAGGAAGGATAGACATAATTGTGTAGAGATGACCAGTGGAGACTTAGGCTAACCCCTTGCTCATAAATTGCTTAAAATTTTCTCTTAGACCAAAAGTTTTTATGCCACTAAAATTAAGATGTCATAGTGGAGTATGTTCTGATGTTTTGAGGTAGTGGACTATATATATATATATATATACACATGTATATATACATATATATATATATGAATAGGTATGTATGCATATATATTTCATCATTTTCATCATATTTATTAAAATGACTTTCGGTGAATAGTGTAACCCAACAACACCTAGTAGAGTAGTTTATGTGTTGCTATTTTAACAGTATGATTGTTTTTAGGCTTGATTTCATCATGCGGTATATGACTTTATAATTGTTAAGGGATTTTAGAGACCAAACCTCTTGCTGTACTTAGCCTTAGATTATTTAAGTCTATGGGAAGGTGGTATTGATATTCCATAAGTTTTAACCTAAAATATTTCCCCTTAGGATTCATCACCATTAGGGCTACTAAGACATAGATACATTGGAGAATTTGTTCAGAGCCATACAGATTTGTGGCAAAGCTATGAAAAGGGCCAAGACATTCTATCTTTTAAATCAAGATTCTTTTTATTTGCTTAGAAAAGGTCCATTCAATTCAGAACTCATTTGTTAAATACCCAGTATGTATAAAGTACAATGACAGGAAATCCCGTGAATCTTTTAGACAACTCAGGGTAATAAAACTATGACATGTTCCTTGACTCCGGATACTTAATGTGGCAACCTGTTGCTTCAAGTAGTGTTGTCAACACACCATTTTAATATCATAGACCTGTGAGTCATTTATGGCTGAATGTGAGTATCTCATCTTTAGTTCTTCAGAGGCAGTGGTATTTCACATCTTGTTGCCATGTAACAACAGTGGTAGAGTGTCAGTATTGAAGAGATGGGCTTTTGCTTTCAAGGGGAGCTTAGAATCAGTAAGAGAGCTTTGCAATTTCTCCAGAGCAATCTAACCACTCTCTTCCTGTTCTTTTAAGAAAGTAAGACTGATATGAATTTAAACACAAAATTCAGGAAATGAAAACTATTCTATCATTAATAGGTCACGGTCCATGTGTGGTACTTTCAATTATTAGTTGGGCTATTAAATGTGATACCTTTGAACACAACAAGTGAGATATGGCTAAGTTCATTTTGCTATGAAAGACTCAACAGTTCATTTCCTGAGCCTCTTTTAGTATTTACATTCCCAGACTGAAGTATTTCATTAATTCATATTTTTATATTGAACACATTATATATTAAAATGAACATTTTCCTAAAAATAATGAGGCAATATTGCTCAACTTATGTTCCTTGCATGAAACATTTGAGGAATTATTATCTAGTGAATACTTGGATAGGAATTCATGAAACCTATCTTGTATTTCTAGTTCTGCCATGGTCTCACAGAATCACAGCCTCTCAAAGAGATCATATAGTCCATATCTGAACATGTCATCATTTAACTTTTTTTTGCTTGAAGGCCTGCAGTTATGGGGAACTCATATTTTTAGGGAACCTATTCCACTAAATTTTGGATAGCTCTGACTATTAGGAAGTTTTTCCTTATATTTAGCAGAAATCTGGCTCTGCAATTCTACCACAATTACTCCTAGTTCTGTCTTCTGGGGCCAAGCTATACATGTCTAATCTGATCCTCCACATGACCACTCTTTGGTTTCAGTTAGTTTATTTTTGGGCTAGACCTGTGATTTCATAAGCATAGGGAATTGCTGTTGAGCAGCTTATTCTACCAATGTAGACTGCCACCTTCTCTGCAATTTATTCAATCTTAAAGCATTACTTCGGGCTCTGAAATATGACTTGTCCAAAGTCACATAGCCATTATGTGTAGAAGCAGGATCTGAACCTACGTCTCTTTGACTCCCAGGCCAATTCTCTATCCATTCTCAAGCTTTCTTTCAGCCCTTCAAACATTTGAAGAAAACTATCTTGTCCCTCCAAAGCTTTTTCCTATTGAAGCCAAATAGCCTCAGTTGATAGTATATAGATAGGGATAGAAACCTTCATCCTAATTCATGTGGTTGCATGGTGGCCAGACTTCTGTATATAATCGTTCAATCAAATGTGTAAATTATATATTTGTGAGGTTTTTATGCCCTTTGTTATAAAGACATTAAGCACAATTGGGAAATGTATATACTGCTTGGTATTTCTATTTAGTAATCACCAGAGGCCTATCATATCTTAATTTTTCTAAAATTTTATTCAAGTTTTTAACTTCTTTATTTTTGTAGTTAACTTTATCTAGGTAAATTGAGGGCCCCCTCAATTATAGTTTTATTATGCTTTTTTTTTGTAATTGGATTCTTTTGAGTTTTTTAATGGTTTCTTGAGATACATGATATCCAGGTTCTTTTTTAGTCATGGATTTCAAGTAATCTGGTTATTCTTAAATTATCTCTCCTTGATATAATTTCTAGGGTCAGTTTTTTTTTTAATTGAGATATCTTATAATTTATTTTCTCATTCTGTTAACTTCATTTTAAAAATTCTTGTCTCTTGGAGTCATTAATTTCCATTTGGTCCATTTTTATTTTTAGGAAGTTAGTTACAAGAGCACAGTTTACTTAAAAGATGTTAAGCTATTGACCTTTTTTCTGTTTCTCTACTTCATAGTTCTCATTTCTTAAAAATCTTACATCATTTCTTTGAGGAATTTTAATTGTTCTTATGGACAAGCTAGTTTTTTTTTCTTTAAAGTTTTGATTACAAGTATTTTTGAATTATTCTTTTCTTATGGGTTTTTGCCTTGTACATCCCTTGCATATTGTAAAGGTTCATTTTTTCATTCATGTGTTCATGCATTCATTCAGCTAGCTAGCTGGTTATTTTTATTTATGTTGTTGAGTCCTCAAGAATTGAGTTCTAGGTATCCCTTACTCTGGAAATCGGATTAAGTTGAGATTCTTTCATTTACCCTGGTTGTCGTTAGTTAGACCTTTTCCTTCACTACATAAACTAAAGTTCTCTTCTTATGACCATCTTTAGTTCAAATTCTTTCCTTTGGATGATGAGAGAGAGGAAGAAGAGGCCTTTTCTTTAATCAGTTAATCTGAGGGTGCCTTCGTCTGGTGAGA